TTGCATCATTCTTAAATATTAGACTTCCTATATTCATTCATAAACATTTATTAAGCAGCTAGCACATGACAACTAGCAAGTTTTTAAATGCTTACTATCTATCAGGCAATATGTCAGGTACTTTGAAGAACTCTACTTTCAATCTTTACTGATTCCAGTCTCTAGTCTATTTGGTAATCATATTGGGCCTATTTACCTTTCCTAGGTCTCAGAACTGGAGAATACTAAGGATTTTGTTTAAAAGATTACCCTACTTTAACAACTCAGTAAAGATACTATTCTCATATTATCTATAGAAAAAAAGTTAAAGTAACACAGCTAATACAGATAATACTAAGTGCCAGAAAGTTTTGTTCCATTTTTATTATTTGACCTTTTTTCTCAGAAACTAAACTTTGCATGTCTTTCAAAATGTTATGGTTATTCACCTACATCCTAACTTACATAAGATTATTTGATCAAATAATTTATCAAGAGGAAAAACCTGGCCCCCTTTTAGCTTTAAGGTAAATTAGGGCAGTTAAATCTAGTTACATTGTTTTGTTTTGTTGAGACAAGGTTGGCCTCAAGTGATCCTGCTTCATTAGCATTTTTACCAGACTGTGGAATATATACTGTACAAGGTACTTAGTAACATTTTGAGTACTCTTCCACTTTTCATAGACCACTTAACTTTTTTTACTAAGTAGAAGGTACAGCCTTGCCAGGTGTGGTGGTATATGCCTGTAATTTCAGCACTCAGAAGGCTGAGGCAGGAGGATTGAGGAGAGTTCAAGGCCCACCTGGGCTACATAGTGAGTTCAAAGCCAGCCTAAATTACACAACCAAAAAGAAAGAAGGTACAGCCTTCAACTGTATTTCAGAACAAAAAAGTCCACTTCTGGCACAAATGGAAGGGACTAATAGAGAAACAGAAATAATCTTGGCTAGGGACCTAGCTCAGTGGTGCCGTGCCTGCCTTGCAAGCGCAAGATCTTAAGTTCGATCCCTAGTACCACAAAAAAAAAAAGAAAGAAAGAATCTTTACTGCATGATGACAACATCTTAATTGAAAATACTTTTAATCCCTCCATACAATGTTTTAATTCATAGTTTTAGAAGACATGAGACTTCTCTAATGAATCTCTTTAATGAGACTTCTTTAAATATTAATTTTCATAATAAAACTTCAAATACTTTAACCCAACAATGGAATATAATGGAATGAAACTACAGGTTTTATCTTCTCACCTCTGAGCCCTCTGCCTCCTACTTCCTCTACACCACCACCCAATTACCCACCCCCTGCCCTGTACTAAGGATTGAACCCAGAGCCTTTGCACTGAACTACATCTCCAGCCCTGTTTCTCTTTTAAATTGTGACAGGGTCTGGCTAAGTTGCTAAATCGTCCAGGTTAGGCTCATTTTTGCAATTCTCCTGCCTCAGTGTTTAAGCCCTCCATGAATAAGTTCAGAAAAATAGTTGGCACTCTGTTTAATGGGACAGTGTCAATTTTACATAAGGCTTGCCCGCAGAAAGCACACTTTTTATGGAGAGTTTCATACATATATGATCCTAAACTGAAAAGCAGCCCTTAACCAATAGGTACCCCCCCAAAAATTTGAATTTCTGAAAGGTTAAATTCGTAAAAATGCAATTAATTGTTTTAAGTAATAGCCAGGCACAGTGGTGCACACTTGCAATCCCAGCTACTCTGAGGCTGCAAATTCCAGGCCAACCTGAACAACTTAGGGAGACCCTGTTTCAAAAGATCTGGAAATAAAAATCAGCAGTAAAATGCTCCACGTTTGATCCCAAGTACCATACACACACACACAAAAGTAAGACATTACTGATAACCAAAAAGAGGTACAAATTAATTGGTTTTAATATACAAAAGAGAACTTATTTCCAGGTAATGGAAGAACAGATTAATCTTAACTCTAATTTCAACAGTTGGCCCTTAGATAACTTCTGGACTAAGTATTCATGTCTATTAAGAACGAGCAAATTACTAAATTATTTATATCCAGTCTTTCTGGTATCCTATAACTAACCCATTTTTCTTATTGGTGGAATGACATCCTACCAAGGGAGCAAATATCATGTACACATCTTGATAGAAAGCTCATTTTATATTAACACATTCAATTGGTTGCCATGTCCAGTTTTTTTTAAAAGCCATACTATAGAAAATACAATAGTCATTTTCTATTTAGTTTTTCTATTTTGAGTCACTCCTGTTTTGGATCTGTACACTGCTGCCTCTTTAAGTCTCTCAGAGGCCTGGGGATGTAGCTCAGTGGGAGAATGTTTTCCTTGCAGCCCTGGGTCTCATCTCCAGCACAGAAAAAACAAAACTCTTGAGTTTAAATTTAATTTTAAACTCTGTTTAAGTTTAATATCCTTTAGTTTGGAAGCAGTGTTTTGTTACTATTATGATAATCTTAGACTATTAAAGGCCTCCAAACAAGTTGATTCTTACAAATTCTTCCATGTATAAAACATGAGTTATAACAAAATTAACAAATCAGTTATCAGAATGCCAAAAATTAAGTCATTAAAAGAGAATCCAGAGAAAGAGACAGTTGTGAAAGAACAGGAAGTGATATACACTGTCATTTTGTACATGAACTATTTAGAAACATAAGAAGTGCCATACTCATCTGTAATCAACCCAGACTAATCACTCTCAGTATTCTCTTCAGACAGTGGAATCAAGAGGTCATCTGAAATAACCCTTAGGCAGTTTTTCCTTAATAATAAATTTATCAAATTGATCATGAACACACTTTTACCACATTTAGGCAATTCCTACTAGCTATGGAAAACAAAGTTTCTTTTTAGTTATCCTAAAGAGTAGTACCAGCCGGGTGCATGTCTGTAATTCCAGCACTCAGGAGGCTGAGGCAGGAGGATCACTGTGAGTTTGAGCCCAGCCTGGACTACCCAGTGAGTTCAAGGCCAGTCTGGACTACATAGCAAGCCCCTGTCTGAGAGAGAGAGAGAGAGAGAGAGAGAGAGAGAGAGAGATCTCTTAGTTCTGGTATGGTAACATATACCAAGCAGTTAACCTATACCCTGTATACATTCTGAAAATGTATAGCCTTATTTGATAAATCCTGTCTTCCTGTATCTTTCCAAGATAAAAGCAGTTACTCTTTCCCAAGCAGTATGCTTGGTTTTATACATGCTAATATATATGAATTCATTATCAACAACAAACCGTAATACAGAAAATTGGGCTTTATGGCATAATTTGCCATACAGGAGAAAACTCTACACATCACAATGTGCAGCTTTGTGCCATGAAATAAAGATTTAAATGAATAGTGCTGTTTAAGTTGAGACAAACATCAAAAGAAAATAAAGGTAAAGTGAATTCCGTATTGTCAAGAAAAAAATATAACTACATCAATTATCATTGAATAAGGTGACACAGAAACTAAATTCGTGTCTACCACTGTTGTTAACATCATTCAATCCCTGTATTCAAACAGGTTTCAAAACACAATACACCAACATCTAACATTAAATGACAACATAAATGCAGAGGTATTTTAAAATAATTCACTAAGTAAAGCTTAAATACCACATACAACTTGTTAGTAAAATAAGACAACTCATCTATAACATATTTTAGTATTTCCATCACTTTGTAAAAAATTATTTAATTCTAATACTCGCGTATGGAACATTTTTAAATCACTAGTAAATCTAAACACTTGAAAAAAAGGTACTAACAGCACATCAAGACTGCTTTAAGACTTGAAGAGTACTTTTTGGCTTGTTAATTTTATTTATTTCAACTCTAAGGACAAAACCAACAAGTACTACTGGAAATCAGTTTTAAAAAGTACATATAACATGAAGCAAAAGTGAAAAATATGACTACAGAACACAGATCCATCATAGTATAATTAAGCAGATTAGTTTACTATCCTGCATTTCCTTAAGAAACAGCATTTGTTACAAAAAGGACTGTAATCTAATCATTTTCAGAAAATTTCAACTTCAATATTATTCAAAATAGTATTAAACTTAAAAATTCACAGCCCAGGGCAAATGTCCACCAGACACCCTATCTGTATGTAATAATCTTAATAATTTCTCCAAGAATTACAAAGAAGGAAAAAAACAGAAATTGAGAGGATACAAATTATTTTACCTGAATTCTAAAGAAAATTCAACCTGCTCGAAAAAATGTCAATCCAGACATTTCTCTCAAAAAGAGGGAGCAAGAAAGAGATCAAGTGTTCTAACATGAGAAGGGTCCCCTCGAGAGGCCATATCCCCCAACAATAACAACAGGACCAGATACACTTCCCATGGAAGATCAAGGGAAAAGTATTAACGGAACTGTTATCAATTTAAAATCAAAGGAAAAAGGGTAACCTTTCCAAGGGAACGCCATTACACTTCCTTCTCCAGCTCTCCCTCCCTTCAGTGTATACATGGGTCTCTGTATGAAGGAACTGCCTTAGACTTCTGCAGCACTGCAGTAGAAGACTAGAGGTTGAGGAAGGGGGAAGGGTAGGGGGAGAGAACCGCTTCCATCACCCCTACAGAAGAGGGGTACAGACTTCCTGCGGGGGAGGGGATGGAATCTACCCAGCTACCTACTCAAAGTAGTCTCCTTTCCCAAGAATATTGTGCAAAGACACTACAAAGGAGTAGAGGGACCAGAGCGAAAGGGACCTCGCGAAAGAGGACCTCGAGCTTTAAATAGGGGTGCACATCAACCCAGGCACTCGACAGGAGCCACACCTTCCTTGAAACATACCCTTCCACCACCCCTTCCGGTGACCCTCAGGAAAAAGGAATGTAACTGCTCTCGCCCCTCAAAATAGAAGGGCACCCAGCTCACCAGCTTCTTCACCCCACCCACAGAATCACAGACCCTCCTTGTCTCCCTCCCCCACCACACCCTCACATCCCTCCTTTCACACAGAGGCCTGAGTGGGCTGAATCTCCCCGCCTCCCTCCATGTCTCCCTTTCCCAAAGCAGAGGTGCCCTTACCCTTTCGCCGACAGGTCTGGGGCGGAGTAGGCAGCCCCCCGCAGCGCTCCGGTGGCCGTTACGCTGGAGAGCGAGGAGCAAGGAGGAGGGGGTCCGGCGACAGACGGTCCCCCCCCCCCAGCCCCAAAGAGCCGCCCAGCCCAAGCTCTGCGACAAGGGGCAAGGGGGGGGTGGGGACGACCGGGGTCGAGGAGGCGCCCTTAGAGCTCGGGCTCAGCTAAGATGGCGCGAGGAAGTGCCGGGAGCAGCCGCCGCCGCCGCCGCCGACTCGGGGGAACCGGCCTGGGCCTCGGCCGCTTCCCGTCCACACACAGCCGAGGCCCTCTTGGTCCCCCGCCGCGGCCCCTCGGCGGGCTGGACCACGCGCAGCCCTCCGCCACCACCACCACCACCACCACCCCTGGGAAGGGGGCGCTCACAAAGGGAAGAGAGGCCGCAGGCCGGCCGGCGGACGGCGGGGCGGGGTCCCCAGGGGCCGAGAGGCCTCAAAGGTTCTAGGGTGCTTAGCGCTGTCGGCCCTCGAAGGGCGCAGGGCGAGCGGGACCCCTCCTCTCTCCTCACGCAGGCAACGACACCGACTCACTCTCTTCGCCACCCTCCCTCTCTCCCTCCGAGCCCTGAAGCCACAGAGCCCAGCCGCTGCCCAGATTCCCCCCCTTCCCCAACACCACTCCCCTCCTCCCGACAGTCATCCCAGTATCCGATCTCGCGAGACTTCCTGCCCGACTGGCCCGACCCTGCGCCAGACACGACTACGTGCGCGCGCGTCCTCACAGGAGCGCGCAAATCCTTTCCTGGGGCGCAGCAGCCAGGATGGCCCAAATCCTTTACACTGTAGAGCCCGCCTCTCTCAGCTCGCGGAGCTTCTACGCTATCCAGAAGTCAGGTGCATTCATTTCGCTTCTGAAATAAGATGCGTTTGTCTGCACTCCCTCCGTTTCCCGCTTGTAAGACGTCAGACCCTTGCTAATCCTACGAATGTAAAAGTTTGCCCTAAAATGTAGAAGGTCCCATTCCTGCATACCTTAGTTCTAATCCTCCGTGGAATTCAAAGGTAAACTAGGTTTGTGAGATTCTAATAGTTAATAGTAATTTTTGGAACATCTGGGAAATTACAGATCTAAGCTGCCCTGTATATTGGTAATGGTAGGAAAGAGACAATTTCTTCGAAAGTTTTGTTGAATGATGAAAGGTTTTTGGAACAAAAGCAGCAAACTAAAGTTCCAAGGATCTAATACAAAAAAAAATACCGAACTTCCCTTTTTTTAGGTGAAAAATAGTTTTAAGGGAAAATCCTTTTAGTGGTTCTTACTCAGGTAATCTTAAAATGAGCCTAAAGCTCAATCATAAAATGTCTTGGGTCTTGCTAGGCAGGGTGGTTCACTCCTATAATCCCAGAGATTTAAGAGAAAGAGGCAGAAGGATGGCAAGTTTGAGGGCCCCCTGGGTAACTTCATGAAACTCTGTTTCAAAATTAATAATAATAATGGCTAGGGATGTATCGCAGTGGTAGAACGTCTTTGGATTCAATCCCCAGTACCAAAATAAATAAATAATCGTGACTCTTCAATCAACATAACTGAGATAAATCTGTTTTGTGAGTTTTATGAACAAAAATTTACTTTGCAGAAACAATTTGCTTTGGAGCAATGATTCGAAGTTTCAGTAAACTTATTTTTTAAAACCCCTGCTATCTGCTTTGTCAATAGGATGTACATATTTGTTTTCGATGCTCTCTCTTGGAATAAGGGTCCTTGCTCTGTGAGTCAGTTGGCCCTCTTTTTGTCTAGATTGTTAATCAAGGGCCTTTGGTAATGTCCCCTCAGCACACAAAAACACCCCCTAGTTTTTCCTTGGGGAGAAGAAATGGGTTACCATCTTCATCTCTCTTCCGCCTAACAGCCAAAATTCTTTGAAGAATTGTGGATCTTCCCATCTCCACTGCAACTGATCTTGCGGAGCTCAAAAATGACCTTGGAAAAAAAAAGTGACCTTGGTTGCTATATCTAGTGATCTCATTTAATCCTTCTCTTCTTGATATCTGCAATATTTGACACGATTAGAACTCCTTCCAGGGGCGGAGATTTAGCTTACTGGTACCACGCCTGTCTGGCAAGCGTAAGGTTCTGAGTTTGATCCCGGGTACCAAAAAAAAAAAAAAAACCAACGACAACAACAAAAACAACTCCTTCCATGCTGAAACTGGCTTTTCACCACCACTCAAAACTAGTTTTCCTTTTACCTTACCTTTCTTTCCTGGCAAGACCCTTCTTCCTTACAAACACTCAAAAGATCCCCCTCCAATTCTGATCTGTTCCAGCAAGAAATTGTGACAGCAAAATATTCTCTTCTACTGGTTGAAGGTGTAGACCAATGGTGGAGAACATGCTTAGCCTGTGGGAAGCCCTGGGTTCCACCCCCAGCACCTACTCCAATCCCTCAAAAAAGAGTGTTCTCCTGTGTCTAGTTATTTCATACATTGTAGAGTGGAAAGAGTCAGGATTTCCCATAATATTTTTATAGAAAATTTTAAACATACACAAAAGGACTTTACCAATTTTATTTCACCTCTTGTCCCAAAAAATTTCTGCCTCCATGTCTCCAAGAGTATTTTTAAGTAAACTTTTGGTAAACCATCATAATATTTTATTTTTACAACGGTATTTGTTGTTTTGTTTGTTTGGTCCTTGTGCTTGTGCAGCAGGCGGCAAAACCACTGAGCTAAATCCCCAGCCCTGTACAGTGGTATCTTGATACTCATCACTAATTGGTTATGAGGGGCCCAAGGAATACCAAGAACAAATAGCAAACAAATTATTTTGGCTAGAAATGGGAGAAAGGCACAAGGCAAAGGAAATGAGCAAGTTCTAAATTGTGTGTGAAGTACCAAACAAATAAACAAGGACCAGGGCAAAATGTTCATGTCAGAATATGTTGTGTTCCAAATTCAACAACTTTCAAAGCAGTCAAGTACCAAGTTATGACTGTTCATGCTTCAATGTATATTTCTAATAAAATTTCCCGTATCACACCTTTACAAAAAAAAATTTTTCCATTAAATTTATTGGTACATTTTAGGTATAAAATACAGTTACATTGGGCCGGGGATTTAGCTCAGTGGTTCCGGGGCCTGCCTCGCAAGCGCAAGGTCCCAAGTTCGATACCCGGTACCAAAA